AGTTGACGGAGACTTGTCAGAGGTGGAGACCCGATATAGACCATTCTCAAGATGACCTCGGAGGAATACCTGACCAATATGAACACACAGAGCAACAAATGAGGTGGGGTAAAATAAGAAAACGCAATTGTTATCGAGCGAAAATTTAGAAACTGACAGCAGATTTTTTGTAATATGAGGAACAACTAAGACATCTAAGAGACGAAATTGTGGACCTGTTGTAGACACAAATGTACCTATGTGAGTGATGGGAAGGGAAACTCCATCACCCACAGTCAATTGTTGATTCCCGGTGTATGGAGTGACCTGGGAGAGGCCGGAAATGCTGTCGGTGATATGGTGGGTGGCTCCAGAATCTGGATACCAAGACTGAATATCCATCGCAGAAGGTGGAGTAGCAGGTGAGGCACAATAAGCTATGGGTTGTGCAGTTGCGATTGGGGCCGAATAATGTGCCTGAGGTGATGCTGGTGTAATAATTTGGGGATTAAACCGCTGCTTGCAATTGTTTTCTCGGTGGCCTTGTCGTCGGCATATCTGATAGAATGGACCTGAATTTTGTCGCTTGCCACCTCCACCAAACGATCGGTAGTTTGGTGCCCTTGTTGGTGTCGGCAAAATTGAATTAGTGCTGGATGGGCTTGCATTTGATGGGCTGAAATTTTGAGTGCACCCTTTAGACTGTTGAGACGTGAATCTCGACTGGTGAGATACAAAAGCCGCAGGTGGAGGGGTATTGGAGGTCATTTTGTTGATTTCCAGTCTTCCTTCGTGTTGAAGCAACAAACCATGAAGAGCGTCACGTGAGAGTGCTCTTGATTGAGAGACGACGGAGATCGTTGTGTCCAAACTGGAAAATTCTGGTCCAAGACCACGGTAGATGTGTGTGTGGTACTCGTTTGTTGATAGGGGTTCTCCAATGGTGGCTAATTGATCTGCGATGGTGGCTGCCTCGTGAAGAAATTATGTTATTGTGCGGCTTCCTTTTGTAATGGATTGAAATTGAAGTCGCAAAGCCAATGCCCGTGCTGTTGATTGTGCGGCATAAGAGTCGGAGAGGTATCTCCAAATGGCTGCTGCAGAGGTGTGGTTCATCAATTGAGCGACGATAGGAGAGGTGGATGAATTGAGAATCCACCCCATCGCGATTGAGTCACGGATTCGCCATGCCTTGTATTCGGGATTGGGCACTAGTGTGCCGTTGTTGGAAGCATGTAAGATGTGTTGTGGAGGAGCTGGTTTTGAGCCATCAACAACAGAAAGGAGATTGGCTGCAAGAAAATATGGGGTAATTTGGGCTTTCCAGATTGGGTAATTTTGCCCAGTGAGTTTTTCCCCTATGGTGGGTGGGGAGTGAAGATTGAGTGTCGAATTTGAAGCTGCAAGATGTGGAAAGGCAGCGGTAGTGATTATTTCTGAAGACATAGGAGTTGAGTTAGTGTTGGATCGAAGGCTTTCGCTGGTGTGCTCTGATACCATACTTGCGGACCTGATGCAGTTTTCAAAGCTTGGCTCGAAACTAAGAAAAGTTTATTCGCTGGTGTGCTCTGACGACACACGGTTTCTCACGAGCTTGTGAGCTTGATCTCGAGAGGACCATCTGATGCATAAGTCGATAAACGAGGTATGAAGAAGGAAAAGAAAGAACTTTGAGAAAGGTATACTTAGGGAAGAAGGCCGAAAGAGGCAGGAAATATGAGACTTACATTTTAAGGTAATTGTCATCACATTTCTATGCCTCCTGGTCTAATCCCAAAGTAGAGTTTGGATAAGCATTTGTGGGCCGTGCGCCTAATGGGCCGTGCAAAAGTCAGCCTGATGAAAAGAACGGTGCATGGCAGCCCAATCATGGTTGCTGATCTGAGGCCTCGCGGGTGGTGCCTTCGGCCTGAAGTCCAACTGTATGGCCCATGGCAAACCGAGAAATTAATCTTTGGGAGCTGAAAATTCTTTTTTTTTTTAATTTTTTGTAAATGCCATAAATATATTTGAAAATATTTTTTGGTCTAAAATAATAAGCAATTTTTGGTAGGGCAATCCCCCTCTCGGTGTCAATCCTTTCTTGGGCCGTTCGTCTTCTAGGCTTGAGACAAAAGGAGGCCCAATGAAAAAGGGTAAAAATTTCTTAGCTGGCCCAAAAACTATTAACCACTAGTAAAACGTTAAGGCCATTGAAAATTCAAACCATAAGTTAGTTGAAAAATAAAAATAACTAATTATTAACCTGCGCCCGCCCATATCACTTCTAATCACTAGACTTGTCTCTACAAAATTTGAAAATGTTGAAATTTTCGATAAAATAGCACAACTTCCATTGAAACAGTTTTAGTTGTATGCTACATGTGAAGTTTCAAGCATAAAATGGTAATATTTTCTTCCGATCGATATTCTTTTTTGCTTTTTAGAAATCACTCATTTTCTACGCCTCCAAATTTCAGGGAAATTACTTACGTGGCCTCCTAAGAAGTATTCCAAACATAGCACGACCATGATGCGATGTTATCAATTAAGAATTTATGCAATGCAATTCGTACGAACTGTTATTGAGATTTAAGCTCCGTTTGTTTAGCGAAAAATGAATAATTTGAAAATATATTCCCTAAAAGTGATCACTTGCATCGCTTGAAATAATTAATCAATGAAAATATTTTCATCATCAATAATAATTAATGTCTAAACACTTTCATGGACAATGACCATACCTATTTGTTTATTTATTTTTGCAAGCGATACAAAAACCTATTCTAACAAAAAAAAATTTCAAATTTTTTTTTTCCGCAAAACGAACGAGCCCTTTGTAGCTATAAGTTCCCAAGTGCTCTTGAAAGTTCTAGTGAGTTCTAGTTTACAAAATCATTCTCGTTAGTTATTACCAACCGGCCATACGCTATCTTGTTGACAGCAAATATTTGTTTCCTAGTCAAATTGCTTCTCATGATTGGACAAGGGGACAACAACGAAGGAGATTAAAAAAAAAAGATAATACCACGAAAAACCCCAAATTGATACGTCTGTGACAAATTTATCCCAAACTAATTTTTTGATCATCAAAAATCCCAAACTGGTACACATATGATAAAAATACCTTAAGCTAATTTTTTGACCATAAAAAACCCGAAACTGGTACATTTGTGACAAATTTACCCTCAATTAAATTGAATTATTATCATGACAAATCACAAACTGGTACATTTGTGACGAACAGAGAATAAAATCCCAAAATAGTACACCCGTCATCTACCACATGTCATCCAACCCAAAAATTAACAGAAACTGACGGTAAAATTATCACAGGTGTACTAAATTAGAATTTAAAATAAGAGGTAATAGATTATTTTCCCCCAAAAAAAGAAAACAAAAAACCTTTGAAATTGATGTTCCACATGAGCAGTGTGAACGGACCAATTCATGTGACAATTGTGAACAAAAAATGGCCAGTTAGTTGTGGCATTGATCCATATAGAATGTGTAGTGCCAGTGGGTCACCCGAAAAGCCTATTTAAACATCCATAACATCTGTCCTATATAAATGGATCTTTGACATTTCCTTGACCTTGGAGGACACCACACCACTACCACCTTACTCTAAGAAATCAAAAGATGAGCCCCTTATATACCGGGAGTATTGCTGTTGCCTACAGGAGCATCACAATACATGTCATATCAAACAGCAAATGCAAGCAGTCGGCCAAAAAGAAAAAAGATAAAGAAATCGAAAGCGAGCACACATAAACTTCCAAATAAATGGATCGACAAAAAAAGCAGAACTATCAGATTAAATCTTTGCTTACTCGGAACGTTTTTCCTATAAGGCATTACAGAAAACCAAAGTTCGCGCTTCCTCCATTTCCCCCTTCTTTCAACCTATCCCTGTGACCGGTTTTTCTTATGGTCGAGAGGGGCCAAAAATTGTGAATAATATACAAAATCGCAACACTAAAAGAAGGGGAAGAAAAACATGTACAAGAAAATATCCACTAGTGGCTGGGTGAGCAAGGCTCACCCTCACCAGTGGCTAGTGAGGGACCTCGCCGGTCTCCCACCTATGGCCGGTTGCCAATCAAGTCACTAGAGGAAGAAGGGAGGAAGAAAAAAAAGAAAAACACGAAAAAAAAAAGGAAAAGAAAAAGAATAAATAAATTCGAAAAAATATTAAAATAAAAATAAAAAATGTCCATGTAAGTGCCAATCAAGTCACGTAGGACCGCTGACGTTCTGGCTGACGTTCCGATCAAAATTGGCTAAATTGACTCAACAAACGTGAAAAGGTTTAAGATTGAATTGGCAAAATTATAAGGCTTAGGTTTAGTACTTTTTGGACAATTTTCCCTTCTAACTTGGTGAGAGATCTCCACAAGAAGGAAACTTCAAAACACTTCTGAAATTTTAATCTACTCTTATTTCAAATATCATGCTCCGGCAGATCCTAAAAAGAATAACAAAACTGCTGCGCAGTGACAACTAAGTTGAAGTGGAAAAGTATGATAAACAAATATTTAACTAAGACATGTTTCAAACAACAACAAGCGACTAATTTGCCCTCTGGTCCTTCGAGTTTCCTTGGAACCAAGAATCCAACTAAACAGCATCATCTCATCGCTTCCTAGACAACTTGACCCCTGATACTTGTTATTGAAAGGAAAAAAATTGCTATGCTCGGTGCAATATTAAGAAAGGCAAGATCCAATTCATGTGACAATTGTGGAGAACAAAAAATGCCAGTGAGTCGTAGAATTAATCCATACGGCTAGACAAAAGAATGCATAGTGCAGTGGGCGACACAAAAAGGCTTTTTTAGCATCCATAACATCCCTCCCATATAATGGATCTTTGACATTTCCTAACCTTGGAGGACACCACACCACTACCATATACTAGGAGTATTGCTATTGCCTACAGGAGCATCAAAATACATACATGTCATATATCAAACAGCAAATGCAAGCGGTCAGCCAAATAGGAAAAAGGAAAAAAGAAATCGAAAGCAAGCACACTTAAGCTTCCAAAGAAATGCATCATCATAATGAACCTTTGCTTACTCGGAACGTTTTTCCTTTAAGCATTACAAAAAAGCAAAGTTCAAGCTTCCTCCAATTCCCCCCTTTTCTCAACCTATACCTGTGACCGGTTTTTTCATGGTTCAGAGGGGCCAAAAATTGTGAATAATATACAAAATCGCAACGCTAAAAGAAGGATAAGAAAAACATGTACAAGAGAGAACCCAACTAACCTCTGCCAATAAACAACTTCAAAAAAGAAATCCCGAAACTAACATATTCCTGCATCATCAACGCTGCACCTCAGAACTGGTTTTTGTAGCATGGATGTCCCTTTAAAAGTGACCATCTGGCTGCAGATTTTCCTATAACTAGTGAGCTGCAGATTAAGAAAATATCCGTGTTAGCAGTGATAAAAAAGCACATAATAGAGTGCAAGATAGATTGATCCGATTAAACACCTGGTCAAGTTCCATCTTTACGAAACCAAATTTGTCTGTCCATATAGACTCTGCTTCTGCAGCAGCAGGTAGCACAAGGCTCCTCACATTCAAGAAACTCAGCAATTTCTGAATGCAAGAGAACAGTAGTTGAAAGTAACCCTGATTGAAAGAATGAGATCAAAGGCAGTTGAGTGAAAATCCATAGTGGTTAATGTTTACATGACTACCTCATCAAATTGATCAGTTCCATAATACAGAGAAACTGATGGACACGAAGCAATCGATGCATGGTGCTTTACAAGATCGTGTAGAAACCACATGCACAATCACATTTTGAGCAGCAACTGAGAGGGTGTGTTTCTTTTTTCACATCAAAGATAGACATGCATCAATATGTACAGTAAAGTCTCCCTAAATTTGATGAAAACTGCCCAGTCCCAAACTGCATCACCAGTTCAGAGAATTTAGAAGACTCGCCCACAGCTTCAAATATTACACTGATAACCCAAACGAAGAGTGAAAATTCACTTTTTTTAACGGAAAAGAAGGGGCAGCCTCAAGAGTGCAGTCCCACGAATTTTAATGCAATAGTGGTGAGAATTTATTGGAAACCAGGAACTGTTTAACCTATTTCTTAAGTAGCTGGTCAGTACACTACAGCATAAATGAGAAAATTTCATGCATCCTGATCCAAGATGAGATCCTGAGTGCTTGTTGAATTACAAAAAGTAGGATACCTCATTTTAGTGGGAAAGCCGACGTACCATTGTATAGGGTGATTTCAAGGGACAAATAGCCACTAAAAGAAACAGGGAAAGATGTGGAAGTAGACTATGAAGAAATATCTAGAATATCTCAAGCTTATAGAAGATTTGAAACAAAAGAAAGCACAACGGCATGACATGATCCATACAACTGACCCCACAGACATAAGACTGTCTTTGTAGTAAAAGTTGTCATCCTTAAATTTTTTTCTCAAAACATAAAAAGGAGAACTTCATTACTAGGTAATTTCGGTAGGCAGACTATATCAAAACACCTGAAGAGAGCAACATAATTTAACCTGGTCGTGACTGCCCTTTTTTGTTGCTACTAAGGGGAGTTCAGCCAACTCTTGTCCAAAAATCCTAAGAATTCCTGCTGATACAACAGTTGAGCTGCAATAATTGCACCACAAAAAATGATCAAAATCCTTTCACTCCTGTTAACCTGCTTTAAGGTGCATAAAAGTTTTCTTACTTGACAATTAGCACTGCACAGTACATTCCGCCGTACTCTTGGTTCCTCGTGCTCCTTCTGCAGATAACGAAAGCAGAGACATGTACATTAAAATTTAAAGGTTAAGATATTCAATAGCGGAGTCAAAGATAGCAATACACAAGTTCAACCCTAATGACTGGAGACTTACCCATACACCATTGAAGGAATGAGATCACGGTTCGTTGTAGGATCAACTATTGGGTCAAAGCATTCCTGAAATGTTACAGTCGAATTTTCTAATTAATAGTTACTCTGGTAGTGTTTCCTTTTCTTTTCAAACATTTTTGACATGCAATTTTTGGTTTATATAAACCAAAACAAGAAAAAGATCGACTGTAAATGCAAGGTCAGGCTTGACAATTATTTTACTTAAATATTGCCAATAACAGACATTCGACCAGATCACAGGACAGCTGGGCAAGATCCTGAGGAAGGCATAGAGTATTGTGATTGCATATAAAATATTACAACCACCAACAGGCAACACCAGCAGCATGTTCCAACAAAATGGTGGAAATGTGACAGTCAGTTTAATCAGCAAAAAACATTAGTGCATTCTTTTGAAATGAATATATACCTGTTGTATCAAAGTATATATTATACACTAATGCTTTGAATAGGCCCAAACTAGAGCATGATGACCAACAATGAATATTAGAGTAGAAAAAAGTAGCCAGAGAATCATTAAATCCCAGATCTTTTATTACGTGATCTCCAGATGCACTGCATAACTCAAAGCGGTGCAAAGCTCCAAGTTTTCTCCAATATATCACCCGCAAAGCTGAATAACCTTGGAAAATGAGGTTTACCATTCACGACTCAATCCACAATTTAACACTGGGCATGAACCATGACATTCTTGAATAGTTGAAGATTTCAACGAGTTGATAGCAAAGTCACAGTGATGAAAGGATGATCGACAGATAAGCCCCAATGTATGCACATACAACACCGTCAGCAATAATGAAGCGTTATTATTTTTTGTTTGGTGGGTGTTATTTAGTATGTACCGGTGTTGGGAAGGAAGAGGCAGGAGGGGGAGAGGGATGTCAAAAACTTCTTAGTTACTTTTTTTTCCCTTGTGTTAGCGATAGTTAAACTATCCTACTGCCACAGGTAAAAGTAACAATTTTCACAAGCTTATGTCATTGATATTCAGGGTAAAATATGGACCTTAGTTTTCAGGTTAGGCTTGAGCATTAAGTCTACTGGAACATCACCAGCAATAAGCATTTATGCTGTGTTTGGATAATGACGGAAAAGGGAGGGTACACAAATTGGGTGGACGGGGAAACTCTTAAGTTGCTGTGAGAAGGGAAAGGAGGGAAAATTTAAGTTTTTGGGCATTTCCATCCTGATTTTCTCCTTCCATTCCCAAACAAAGCTGTATGGTATTGGACACATGGTGTTTTAAGAAACATTGTGACCATAAAGAAAAGTTGCTTCTATGGTCCATAAGGTATGATGAATTTTGTAGTTTAGTCCATAATCTTCAACAACTGACTGAGGTCGGTACTTAAGTTTTAGTGCAATTTTGTTTCTTCACCATCATTTGCATCTAATCTAGGTCATAATTCTTGCACAGAATCTAAGCTGAATCACAATCATAACGCTTTACGATGATGCAAGAAAATCTTTGAAATCAGCTCAGATACAATAATCATTACCAAAATTCTACTAACGACGACCAGAATAGTAAAACTTAAAAGATTAAAACCTACTTTACCAAAGATTGGGGAAACAGCAAAAAGTGAAAAAACATTTAGGGAGAATGTGTGTGGTTTGCCGCTATTTCAATTATTTCAAGCAATAAACAGTGTCAAGGTGGTAGTTCCTGCTGGAACACAATGTGACATTGATGATCTGGGGGTTCAGAGATTTCAGATCAGAAAAATGGCCAAAACATAATTTCCACTCCCAAGAGCTCATCTTGAGCCTGCCCAAGCAATGTCCATAACCAAGACCAAACTTAAAATTACTAGGCAATCTTATAATGAAAGCTACACTAAAGCATACTATTTACCAAATAGAATCAATGTCCACTGACCCTAATGAAGGCTCAAGAGATTAATCAACTGGACCTATGACCAGTACCTGCTCAACCCTGTTGAAACAGAATGTCCAGCTCAGGTTTCAAAGATGGTTACCATCTGCTGGAATGTTACAAGATGCAACAGAGCATCGAGTTTTGGCAATAAAACATTCAGCTAGATAAGCTATGACTCATCATTGTTTAGCATTTTCTTGATCATCTGCCAGAATCAACATGCTTCAAAGAAGCAATGGATCCAGATTAAATTATGCAGTGAAGTTTGCATCTAATGTGAGCTAAAAGGTGCAAATTGAAAAAGGTTGTCACAGTAATTAAACAATAGAAAAACAACTCAGATTAATCAAATTGGGCCTAGATTGGGAAACCTTAGGACCATTGGGACCCAAAGGAGGTAAATGTTGCGAGTCTAGATGAAATTGCATGTGAGTTTACAGTACCCACGAGGGATAAAGGCTGAATCCATTTTTGCACTTTTCAGGAACATCAGTAGTGATAATACATGAAGAGGACACCAAAAGATTGGATCATCTCGAAAGTCCTTCCTATGTCCCTAAAAGTGGGAGCTTCTGAAACTTACTCGTTCAAGGATGCTATTACTTGGAAGCATCTCAAATCTCAACTTGAAAGAGTTTCACAGTGGCACATTTGAAGAGGACTACAGAAACATTATAGCAAATTCACCTACTCTTTCAATAGTTAACACATTCTGAAGAATTGTAAAGGGCTGTACTTTTAACCATAAGTTTCCACTTCCACTTCTAGTTAACACGAGAATTACTAAACCATTTCTTGCACAGGTTTTTCCATTTGCTTGTGTTTGAACCAAGAGAAAGCAAACAAGAGAAACCATACTTATATTATTCACCTAATAATAAAGTACTGAGCTCTTTTTCACATAGTTAATCAAGTAGTGGACATTGTCTTCCACATGGTTCCACTCCTGCATCCAGTTGTTTTTATTTTTTTTGGCCGAAGCATCCAGTTGTTATTTAAGTAGACAACCGTACTCCAAAAAATCAACATGGACATTTAGCCAGGGGTTTACTCACATGGAATATAGAAACGGCCTCTGAAAGCAATCTCCTAGATTCAGAACAAGCAAAACTGCCACTCAGCAGCCTCCATCTTGCATCATAATTATTAACTGTTGCAAGACCTTTCTCCTCATGCTTCTTCTTTAGAATATTTAAAAGAGAGTCTTGGAGCTTCTCTTCACCGTGAACAAGCAGGCCCTGCAATGTGGAGTGGATCCTACTGCAGTCTGTACAACAAAACCACTTCCCCTTTGGTAATTCCTGTCAAAAGAATTGCATCACCATTTTGATGATATCAGTAGATGGTAAAGGAAGCTCCTGCACAAGCAGTGTAAGGTGAAAACATGATGCAATCATCGTAATCTGCACCTTCAGACTGGCCATTCTATGATCCCTCAAGCAGCCCACATGATATTCCTTCTCACACTATTAAGGTAAATCCAAGAAGAGATTCGTATAAGCTTTTATGTGAAAATGAATATAAAGATTCTTGAGTCCACATTGTTAAGGTAAATCCACAGTTTAAGGACCAGAGAAGAGGGAGACTACCTGGTCACAGAGAATGATGGTTCGAGGACCAAATCCAGATTTGCTAAAATCATAACCTCTGTATTAAGACAGCAAAAAGCTATTAAATAAGTAGATTGAAGAGAAAAAGTTGTGACGAGGTAATATGACATTTATGTAAGAAATCTTAAAAGATCCTCATAGACAAAACACAAGCTAGACGAACTTTTGTTGCTATAACAATAACCTGCATAGTGCACATCCAGTGACCTCAGAACCTATGTTCTTGACAATACGAATGCATCTCTGTGTTATTTGCTCAATAGGATCAACTCCCGAAACTCTTCCAGCAGCAACAGCATTTTCATTCACAAACTTCTCTTTTTGAAACATACTCTCACAATAATCGCAGTACCATTTACCACGTGGAACACTTGTCAGAGAAGCACATTCTGCAACCATAGTTAACAGAAAAGGAAAAATCATAAGGAAGTAGGTCTGTCAGTTAAGGCACTAATCCCTAAAGCAGCAAAGTAACTAAGATCTGCAATGCACATGCCTTGCATCCAAAACTAGGGAACAAACACCAAAATGAAAACCAGGAAAACCTTTATAAGAATAAAAACATACATCACATGAACAAACTGGCATAAAAGAAGGGGAGAGGGGAAGGATCTTGTCATGCCAGACTAGAAAAGAGATTGATCACAGTCAACACTCAAAGCATCTGATCCTAGCTTATAGAGTAACAGATTAAAATTGAATCTCTGGACTTTAGCAAATGATAAGGAAAGACTGAGGAACAAACACCAAAATGAAAACCAGGAAAAACTTTATAAGAATAAAAACATACATCACATGAACAAACTGGCATAAAAGAAGGGGGAGGAGAATGATCTTGTCATGCCAGACTAGAAAAGAGCTTGATCAAAGTCAACGCTTAAAGCATCTAATCCTAGCTTACAAAGTAACAGAATAAAATTGAATCTCTGGACTTTAACAAATGATATGGAAAGATTTCAAACTGTCACCCAAGCTCATCCCCAAAAAGAAGGGCAAAGAAAACGAACAGCAGAGACTATCATATAAACGAGAGCTTCAAAGTCAAAGCAATCCCCAGTATAAGATCTCAAGTATTTATTAGACGGATACGATGCAAGACTGATGGAGTATTAATCTTTTAGCAGTGCATGATAATTCCATTATACACATACCTCCTTTTGGACTTGAAATTAAGATCAAACAGCATGCAAGTGGTGACAGGCAGATTGGTTTCTAATAATTCATGAAGAGGAGCCTATCATGTCCATGGTTCAATTAGATGCAACATGAAAGGTTTGCTACTTAGGATTTTGTTCTACGGACAGTAGGAAATAAAGGAAAAACAGTCTAAGAAGATCAATATCTGTGCTTAAAACATAAGTACATTTCTAGTTTGAAGTATCTCGTTCTTCTATAATTGTGCACAGGGAAAATATTCCCATTCCGATCTTTACTTTGGCTGTGCCAGAGTAGCAGCAAATATTTGTTTTTCCTATATACAGAAATAGAGCTGGGTGTTCGTCTTGATATGTAAATTCTTCAACTAACAGTATAACTAAGGAATCACCTTTATGGAAAGCTCTTGGGCAACCATCACAGAGCAAAAGGTTCCCCCCATCTGCACAAATAATGCACAGGTTGTCATTATCCTTGGCAGAATATTTACGCCCTTTCGACAGAGAGATTGCCAATTCATGGAGAGACACCCCATTGGATGTGTAAATATTCGAATAGCTGTCAAATTAAAACAGAACAGATAAGTCAGTTGGCTTCTCTTGCAAAAGAAAAGGTAAGGGGCAAAAGGAAAAACGAAAATACTCACGGCTTCTTGCGAGAAGCCCAGCCAGCATGAACTTCAAACTGTGAGGGGCTGACCTGCATTTTAAAGTTAGCTAACATATGTACATTCTTCAATTGTTCTAGTAACTGTAGTTCAATGGAAGAAACTAGTACCTCACAGTTGCAGCATCTGCAAAAGATCCCAAAACCCTTTTTGTAACCCTCAAGTAATTTCTGTTCACAGAAAATCATCGATTTCAAATTGGCAAGTGTTTTCAGCGCACTTGAGTACCGTCTTAGTAAGCATACCTGTCCTCGGGAATAATAAGCCACCTCAGTTCCATCAGGCAACCCATCTTCCTCAAATACCAATTTATGCAATCTCTGATCTCTTCAGAAAGATGACAGCAAACAGATAGAAGAGATGACTGTTAACTTTCAAGAAAGAAAACATGTATAAGCCAAATCCATGAACTAGATCCAGAGGGAGAAAATAAAATTTTACTTTATAGTTATCTTCCATTGACTCTTCTTGTGTAAAGAGATAGGTGCTGAAGAGCTCTTCATGTACCGGACCTTTGAAACTAATTTCGGTAACCTGAAACAAAATATAGGAATATGGAATATTCAACAAGAAACTCTAATTAATGGTAAAATGTAAAGGATCATAAAGAATGCACAGTAATTGCCTCTCTATAAATGCCAGGCATTTATTGAGAACTTATATAAGCTGACTTGCATAACAGAAACACAATCCAGCCACAAATGCCAAGTATAAATCAAATATGACAAAAGGCACATATTTGCTCTTATCTTTATCTTTAATTCACCAATAAATAGAAGAGATAACTGTTAACTTCGGAGAAAGAATAACATAATAATGAAAACATATCAAAGGGGAGAAAATAGAATCCGACTCTATAGCTGTCTTCCATTGACTCTTCTATAGTGAAACAAGGAAGTGTTGAAGAAATCTTCAAGAGCCTAAATACTGAATCCAATGTACATGACCAGAAACAAACTAAAAGATTATGGCAGATTCAACAAAAAAGTCTCATCTACGCAAAGGATCAGAAGGACCGCACAGTGATGTCTCTATATGAATGACCATCATGTTTAAAAACTTAAACAAAACAAAAAGCTGACTTGTGCAGATGAAGAGATAACCCAGACTCTGATCCTGACAATAAATCCAACATGAGATAGGTAAAATGTTTGCCATTTCTTTAATTTGCCATTTATTACAAAGAGACAAGCAGGAGAGAAATATAGAGAGGTAGTGTGCATAATTTACTGGAGAAAGGCAGACAGAAGCACATAAGAGGGCGTGATGAATGATATGCATCTACTGGAAAAAAAAGAGAGAGAGAGAGAATGTGCAGTAGCTCATTTTGCATCCAACTTTCTTCATGCATTTCAACATACAAAAGATTACACTCTTGTAAAAAGAACTAATCAATAAACATGGACTTGCAAAACTATGCCTCACTGAATGAGAGATTAGCATTATAATGGAACTAACTTCATCTTCAACTGATTCTTCATTTGTGGAGAAATAAAAGCACATGCACTTCTAGATGCTTTCAAAATTAGATCTGCTCTCGGTGACCTGTTGCAAAGCAATGAACAAGGCAGGGTAAGATACAAACACTCAAGTTAAAAGTGTACTACACCGAAACACAATTTATCAAGATTCAGAAGATTCCAACTTTCTGGATGTTTTCCACTGAGTCCTCTTTGGAGAAGAAATAGCTGCCAAAGCATTATCAGCAGACTTTGGCATTAGAAGCTTGTTTGCAGACCTGAGATAAATACATGCAAGCATATCTCAGTATACAATCTCGAGATACTTCTCAGTATGAAAACATTCTCACCGTGTCTTTCTTATCCCTTCACTTCCACCTAGCAAAGAGACACTCATTGAAGGACTCGTGGAGGACTCCAAGGTTCCAACTGTTGTTGCTAACCTGGAAAAACATAGACAGCATCTCTTAAAAGAAGGCTTTCTTAGCATTAACATTTTGAATTCCTCGGATAAAAAATCTTACTAGTTGATATCACTAAAACAAAGTTGACAGAACTGAAACCAACCAACATCACCCATCTACTAAATAACTTCTTCAGGGGGGTGAACAGTAATTGATTAGAAAGTAGCTCGAATTGGAACTTAAGACTTATCTAAAGTGACAGTAAGACTTCCCAAGTTGCCAGCCAGTGGCGAAGAACTAAATTACTCACTAGTGAAGGCTCAAACCTCTGACCTTGAGGCATCCACATTATACATCCAACCACATGGCCACGAAAATGGCCAGTTATTCCACAGTGAAGGCACAGATATCTTATGGTTATAAAGATGCAACACATTTCTAGATGTATTAAATTCCTATCTAGCTTTGACCCAAAAAAAAAAACCTTTCTAGTCTATTCCCCCGTGACTTGAAAGAGCATGACACATCAAAAAAGAAAAAGAAAGTCCATTACATGCTATGCAAAGCAGATAACTGTCAACATATATAGGAAGATCACCAATAAGCCCCACCAGACTGATTCAACATGTCTCATAGCATGAGAAATCTACTAGCTACAGAATATGAGTCTGAGAATAGGCATACCTAGCCCTTGCATGACTTTTGTTATTGTGAGTGCTTTGACATTTCTTTGACTGCACACATGCAATACACAAAGACCCTGCTCTGGCAACAGAGAATGCAGGGAACGTACCTGAAACATAAAACAAGGATCAACGAGGGAAAACCCAAAAGAGAAAGAGAGATAGAGAGAGAGAGTAAGTTCAGTCAGTATCCTAATACCATGACGCTGCTTGACAGACAACGCTATCCTAAATAACAAGAGCACCCATAGGCATACCTTTGCACCCTCTACAAGTGAATGATTTTTCCACAGGCGAGTGATGAATAATACTTTGAACGGCACTTTCTAGCAAGTGAAGGGGTGCTTCCCTGCAAGCCCTCAACACATCAAGCAGGCTCTTCCCATTCTCCAAGCAAATGTACTGCGAAGCACGTTTGTATGCTCCGCATGCATGAATCTCAAATTGGGAAGGTGGAATAACCTACACATTCCCGAAATTAAGAGTAAAGAAGAAAGATAAACTCGATTAATGGGTATACCATGTTGACTAATATGAAGCCCATTAAGCAACGAACCGCGCACTTACTCGGCACTCATTGCACTTAGCACATGAACACAATATCCCTCCATCTTTGATTACTCCTCGAAGCCCAGGAACCTGCATCCAACCATCAGAATTTAAGCATTATAACGCCAAGAGCAAATTCTCACTCATGAGTCTTGAGTTTTTATGTTAGTCATTATCCATAACATAAAGTACGTACCGTCTTGCAGCCGCCCATATAAACTACAGTTACCCCGTCCAGCAAACCAGTGTCAAAGAGATCACTGACTGTCACCAATTCCCGGTTCCACACAAATGTCTTCGACATTTTCGATTCTAGGTTATTTCGAGTGGCTATGCCTGCGGTCTCGGCATTTGCATCCCCCTCCACCTTTGAAATCGCTTCATACTCTACAGCATGCGACACACCTACTAGAGTCTGTCCCTCCTCGATCTTATGTACCAGAGCTGTTTCGTCCTGGCCACCATCTTCTCGAATCACAACCTCTACCAATCCATCAAGCTCTTCAAGAATTTTCGTTTCTTCAAGAGACTGCCGTCCTCTTATAGTGCGACTGAAATCCTCCTGCACAACAACTTCCACCAGCCCACTGTCCGGTTCTTCATCAGAAAAGCAGATTCGATCGGTCTCCACCTCCGCTTCACTCAGGGACAAATCCGAAGTCCCATCAGATTGCCGCACCTCGGCGGCCTCATTCGCGACGCCAATCTCTGGCAATCCGTCGAAACCCTCCGCTCCGCTGATCTCGGCGGGCACGGTGAAGCCATTGCGCGGCTTAACCCTCCGAGCATACACAATCAGGGAAGACGAACCGTTCAATCTCTTGCTGCCTCCGCCGTGAGCCTCGAAGCCACCGTTACAGCGGCCGCGCTGAGCTCGAGCCTCGGACTGACCGAATCGCACACCGCAGAACCGCGCCTCGCCTCCTTCGCAACCGCCCTCCATGTCTCGGGCCCCCCAAAAAATCCCGACCTCAGGAACCTGCAACAGCCAACGAGCAGATCAGGACGACGACGACACGCGAGAGCGGCGCTCCGGCCGCGAGAACGGCGCCGGAAAATCCAGAGGCGGCGGCGACGTACCACCCCGCCGGGCCATGCGGAATCGGGCCGCGATGCGGGGAAATCGTCGGCGGCGGAAGGGCGCCGGAGCGATCGCCGAGGGTTTGTCCGGCGAGGGGATTTCGGGAGCGCGACGTCGGGGGGCGATTCGACGGGGAGCTTGAAGGTGAAGGAAGAATCGGGGAGAGAGAGAGTGGATCAGTGTGTGTTTCTTCGGGAAGCGGAGGGTGAGTAAGCAGCGACGAAAGGGACGATGGCAGGATCCGTAAATACAAGAGGGACGAGCGGGATGACCAAAGTGCCCCAGCGAATCGCCGGAAATTACAGGCCAGGCGAATTATCCATTTATCCGTCCGTGCCTTCCTTGCTTCCTCCAAAGTATTCTTATGAGATTCTTTTGTGTGCATATCTATTTCTTTTTTTATTGCTTATGACTTGTTTTTTTTATAAATTTCTTTCCTTGGTTACATTGGTATTTCACATTTCGACCTCAAGTATGTTATAGACATAATTACCCATAAATCAAATCGATTCATAGTAATGTTTCTATAATTCTATTAGCGCCATTTATTACTTATTGCTTCAAGAGTTTCCGATCAATAAGAATATAGTTACGTAATGCATGACGGCATTTTTCTAACTGCCTTGCCGATATATAGATTGCTAGCTTATATTAGACGTCATCGAGCATTCACGATACTCTATTTAGTCACTTTCCTCCGTTTCCTCGGTTTCTCTGTTCTTTTCTTGCTATTGGGTTTCACTTCCTTCTCTATGATTGTTGACACCTAAATTTTGCCCAAATCATTTAGGGTTTTATCGCATAAAAATTAAGGATTGATTTTTAACCCCTAAATAAAAATATTTTCATTAAATTGTGTGGCATGTAGACATTAGGCACATTTGCATTAATAGATTTAGTGAAACATATTTTCGCTTTATTTTACTTCTTTTTTATTTTTATTTATTTAAAATTATTATAAAAAAAAAAAAAAGCACGTGAAGGGCTTTCCTCTTTGACCGTTCATCCGATTCACCAAAAGGGCTCTCCCTCCTTCACTTACGAAAAAGAAGGAAAAGGCAGAACGCAGCACAAAGCAGGAGAGCAGAACGCAGTAAGAAGTAGAAGCGATGCAGAAGGGCAGGCTGATCAACGGCAGCTTTGAGCTGAAAATAGAAAGAAAAAGAGCTGGCTTCGTTGACTGATCGGGGACCGTTTTGGAGGGACACCAAAGAGAGAGGACCGGCGGGAATCTAAAAGGAGGAGGCTTGGCAAGAGAAAACGGAGGGGGGAGTAATCAGAAAAAAAAAAAAAGGCTTGAAGAAAGAAGCGAGAAGGAAGAGTTCCAGAGAGAGAAGAGGAGAAACAGGGGGAATCATGGACTGAAGAGGAGACAACAGAAAGAGATCCAAGAGAGAGGGAGTTTGAGAAGAGAACGGGATGGAAAAAGAGAGATCTTGAGGGCGAGAAGAGAGACCGAGAGCCTCGCCCACTCGCCGGAGGGCCGTCCGAGTCGCCGCTGAGCCTCCAGCCGTCGTACCTCGCCCCGGCCAACCGTGAACCAGGTGGGTCTTCTTCGTCTTGCCCTGTTTTGGTCCCCCTCCCCTGCCCCTCGGGTGCCGGGCACACCGAGTCTATTCGGTGGTCGCCCGGCACCACGAGATGACGAAAATGTTTCTTTGTACCTCCAGGATGTGTTATTGAACGATTTCCATAAAAGAAAACCTTCGAATCCCGCTGAAATCCACTTGGAAACCCTCAGTTTTAGGTGCATCCCACCTGTTCGACGAAATGCCCGAATGAAAACCGAAACCAAAGTCACCGCGTCTACCTGTAAAAATCTTAGATTCACGTTTGTTCGTCCTGAGGTTGATGTTTGGTGACTGATGCTGTGTTGTTTTGTTCTTTGTTGTGGCATCTTTGTCGTGTATCCGAGTGAGCCATCGAGGAAACCTTCACCGGAGACGCCATTCCCGTCGTTGGATCGACGCCCGCGGTTAGAGGCCGCCTTAGTCAGTCTCTCTCTCATTGCCCCATCTTTGTTGTGTGTATGTGTGTCCATTGTATCGCTTGAAAGATTTTAGCCGATGAAAGATGTTCTAACCGGAAAATGAGTTTGAGTTTTGGGTCGCCGACGGGGAGGCGCGATTCTTCTTTAAGTCGTCGACGTGGTCACCGAAGCGTCGTCCGGTGGTGACGGCGTAGGCCGGCGTCCGCAGTTGGTGCTGGCGGCCCGAGCCGATGGCCGGCGGTGGGTGATCACGGCGTGGTCGACTGAAGAAGAAGAAGACTCTGTGAAGAACAGTAAGAAGCAAAGGGCAGAAGCATTCTGGGCAGAAGGTACGAAGGAGGGGATGAAGAAAAAAAAAATAATAGAAAAAGAAAAAGAAACAAAAAAAGAGAAAAGAAAAGGAAAAGAGGGGAAAATCAAAAGAAATCAGAAAAAGAAATAGAAAATTGGGGTCCCGGGCGGGTCGGTAATTCGGGTTAGGAAGTCGGGTGGATCGGGTCAGGAGACCCGGTCCGAAGATCTTATTTTATTAATATTTTTTTTAAAAAAATTCAAAAATATTAAAAAATTCAGAAAAATTCGGAAAAATTCCAAAAAAAATCAGAAAATTAAGAAATGTTCAGAAATCAGTTTTGGGCCTAATTTCACTAGATTTTAGGTAAAAAAAACTCAAAAAAAATGAGAAAAAACCCTCTAAAAAATTCTAAAAAAGATCGGATAAGCCATTAAGGCTTTACCTTAGGGCTTTTGATTGCATTTTCTTTTTAGAGACGATGCAAGGTCGCTAGTTGTTCATTTTCTTCATGATTATCTGGTTGCGCACTTTTAATACATTGATTGTTATTTTCTATTTTTAGAACGGTTAAGAGGAATATTAGCTTTTTCGATAGGCTGCCCGGTACGTTAGTTTGCGAACATTCAAGTTTAGGTACCGAAAGGGCACTAGTTAAATTGCTAGTGTAATCAAGTCCCCGAACTTTGGAATCTCTGGTTTTCGCATGTATCGAGACGACACTCCCGCGTCTCGATCAGAGTTTCTAGCCAACCCTTGACCGTGGCTAGTGGCAACTCCAATCGAATGCTTAAATTAGACAATTCTCGTCGCGCGAGGTATGAGGCTTGGGAGTGCCTCGGTCATTGAATTAATGAACCATTTGGTTCACCATTCAAACGAACCAATCGTTGTTCATATCCATCGACAAATACCTCTTGGTCTAAACCCGACGATCGGTTCGGGTAGGTTGCGACAGCTAGGCGACTCCGCTGGGGGCTTGAGGACTTAGGCCTAGTATATCTTGATTGTTTGTTTGTTAACTAACGTGGTCTTATGGGAGCGCATCGTGAAGGCTAAGGTAATTCCGCTAACAAAGTGTTAAATGGTCTTGCAGGTTGGAAGTTATAAGGGGTGGAGTAATTGTTGACCCTTTGTTTTGTAGGTTTGGAGTTTGGGAATGAATGTTTTTCTCTTTCGAACTCTTGAAGTGCTTTGTGTATAAACTGTTGTGCATGCTTAAATGCTTTAGCACTACACTGTTGCACACACCACCGTGCTGCCGGACCTGGGCCGCGATAGGATACTTTAGGATGGTGTTAAGAAAGATACAACCTCGAACGCGAGACTGCGATGTAGAGGTTGCCTTTCTTTTTCCCGAAAAATTCTTTCTTGGTGTCGTAAGTGTTTATCCTTGTCCGCGAGACCGCGTGACTATAGGTTATCTCTTTCGACTAAGCCGGAGTTAAGAGGACCTGACACCAACGCGAGACTGCGACGGTCAGATCACCCTCTTAGCTTCAATTTGTTAAGCCATCTAGAGTAGAAGTCGAGCCGCACATTACATTCGCATGTTTATGTGATTGAAAGTTTGTCATCCACTGTAAGTATGGTTTCTCTCTTTACTTGTTTACTTTTGGTTGAAACTTTCATTTTTGAAATTCGCGAAAATCAATTGAATGCCCTAGGTGATCTAAGCTTATAATTGAAAATTTCGGGCAATCACTCTTGACAGTGAGCCTTGAGCATAAAACTCAAACACCTCTGATTTGGCCTTACAAAACAGATGATTTTGTCTAAATTTTCAATTATGGGCTTAAAATCACATTTTGTATAAAAAATTTTCCAAGTCAAGATGGTATTTTGGGGCATAAAATTGAAATAACATTTTCAATAAAATTCTTTCTTGTTCACATTTCGGAATCAAAATTCAAATCACTTTTTGTGTATTAATTTTTTAAAATAGGAATCACCTCATTTTTGCAAAAATGAAATCGCAAATCAGTCTTTCAAATTTGATATGCCGCATTTTGCGATGAAACTTTTGGAATAAAAAGGGCGCTCGATTGATAGCCGCGATTTGATCTTTTAATGATGTCTCTACTTACGATGAAATCTTGGTGAAATACTAAATGCCCACAAATAGGAACCATGGGGGCATGTATTGTTGCCTCGCTTTCGTCATAAGAGGCGGCATCAGTGAAAGACCACTTTTTCATTCACATACTAACGTTGTCTTCCTTTTGCAGGTTATGCGTAACAGTCATCCCTTGGAATTCTCTTGCTTAATCACGCAAGAAAGTGTACTTTAGAGTTAGAACGAAAATTATTTGTTTGCACTCCTCTATTCAAGAGTTTTTCAAACTTTATCCTTATTTTTATTCTTATTGGGAACTAATGTTTTCTGATTTGGGTTTTAATTGTGAACCCAATCGATATTTTTGTAACCACGCAACTCACGTCTTTGAGTAATGAGGTCCTAATTTAGATCATTGTCCTTTAAAAGTAATTGCAGTATTTTCAATTGAGTCATCGAGTTAGGCTTTTATGCCTTACCTTCAAAATGTTTTGAAATTGAGTTTCAAGAACGACTTGCATAAAATTGTTTCTCTTCACCTGGCCAATTTTGCAGGTTGATTTGCAAAAGGACATCGTGAGATGGTAACTCTGTAATTGTTCCAATAAGAATTCTTTGTGCAACAACTGACTCGTTCATCCGTTTTTGTCAAAACAGGTTAAGAGAAATACTTCTTGTCGTTCAATTGCTATGCAATTTCTTCAACACTCTTTACAAGGAGCTATGATGGATTCTGATGAAGTAGATAATTGCAAAGTGGGTAATACCGAAGCGTGAGATGACAAATGAAGGACTCTAATGGCGCAGCTGACTTTCAAGGTGTATCACTCCAGTAGAACAGAAATGACAGACAATCGCATAACCATAAAAGGGTGTA